ACATCCAGGCTGATTCCAGATTCTCATTTTCAGGCCCGATGACCCTCCGGGTAGGGCCAAGTCCGGACCCGGCCTGCCAAATGGCCACATCTAATAATATGGGAATAGAAGGGTACAAAATCTGAGAGGAATCTATCATACTACGAAATCGAAATGATAAACGCATCTCTTTTTTAGTAACAAAGTAGCATGAAAAAGAAGTCATTCTCCTTATAAAAGAAATTCCCGTATTCTTATAAACTACGTGCAATGTACATCACAATACCAAATTACAATTTCAAGGTTGGATCTCTAATTTGACCGTCATAAGTTTTTCCGCTGAATATTTTGCAAGTCATCAGAGCTCGAGTCAATCATAAGTTTTTCCGCTGAAATCCCCTCCAAGCATATTTTGCAAGTCATCGGAGCTCGAGTCAAGAAAGTAGTTCGTAAAATGTGCGGTTAAGAAGACCGCACATCAGAACGATGGCTAGAGCACTAGAAGCTGAAACTCGAATCGATTCCTTTACACCTTTTCTTTTGCATATTTCAAACATATCAGTAAAAGTGTCGAATGTAACGCAGGTAATACATGAACCCGTTCAAATATTTTAACTTACGTCGTTCATAACACTTCCACAAAGGTCCAACGTTATAGTCTCAATCAAAACAGGTCTCAACAAGCATTGCATCACACCCCAAACACATTTCTGAAGTCCAAACACGAAATCGCACCAAAAGCCGACACAAAAGTTATATACGGGACGAAAGCAGCCAACAACAAAAACCTGACCCTTTCTTCCCGACCAAAAGCTTATATACTACTGAAAAACAGCCAGAGGCGCACCATCGTAAAACATACCTCCCTTCGTATAAACCCAGCCCGGCCCAACTCACGAATTTTCAGATCCTGTTAGTGAAAATAGGAACACATGTACAACCTAGCTACAATATCAATAGGTCCATCATCCCCTCCAACGGCATGCACGGCAATGGGTATCGTGGACAGGAGATGAACTGTGAGTGGGAAAAAAGCGGGCTCATTCTCCACTGGGCCCGACCCAAAACTCTGCAGCCCGGAGTTCTTGTCACCTGAATTCGTTGTGTCTGGACTCAGTTCGGCTGGGCTGACGATCAGAGCAACTTCCTCGATTGACCTAGACTTTCCGGGGCTGTTTTTCCTGGTTGACCGTTTTTGTACAGTTGACTGGCTGATCACCAGGGTTGATGTGGCGTCTAGCCACTCGGCCATTAGGCCGTCCACGTCATCGTAGTATATACGCCGCTCCATCTACGGAAAACAGTGAAGAAAAATAATATGATAATATATTAATTATTAAGGGTAACTTGAACTTTTGGAACTTTCACTATTAACTTAGCAATCTTGTAAATTCGACAGTGAAAAAGAGGGAAAGGTCAGAGAAGATGCTTACAGCTAACTTTGGGATGTACAGAGACATAAACTTTGGTCCAAGACCCAAAACTCTGGCCTCCGAATATAGAACCTGCAGAAGAAAAAGAAATCACGGTCAAAGATTCATCCTCTTCACTAAATGATCATGAAAGCAGAAGAAAATGTCGGAAAATGACTATCGCTCTCAGTTGAAGTGTTGTTTTTTCATTTTGGATAACCAATGAAAGAAAACAAACCTCTTTGTTTTTAAGCAGAACCCAAATGTAAAGCTTGTCAGTCGCATCCTTCACATGCCTAGTGGCCAGCTTCCTCTCGTTACAACGAGTCGCCACATCAGCAAGGGTTTCCGCCTCCGGCACCCTATATTTCACAGCCGCCAAAGACAGAGCTTCTCGTGCTTCAACAGACTCGATTTCATCTTTCTCAAAGTAAACGCCACTGAAACATCTATTATTCACCTTCTCCACATTTCCCGCCATTATTTTCCTCTTCAAGTAAACATCCTCAGCCTCCAAAGCCGCAGCCAATGTCCGATGCACAACTATGTCAGGGTACCGACGTAAAGGAGATGTAAAGTGCGTGTATAACGGCACAGCAAGAGCATAGTGACTGTAATCGCTAGTGTCCTTTAAATCTCCACTGCAAAAATAGGTTGCTAGCTGCATAGGCCTCGCAGCATAAGACATCAATATATCAAACAAAACCGAGTCGTTCTTAAGTTCTCCCCTAATGAGCTCCAACGAGCGGTGAAGATTCCCGGATGACGAAATATCCAATTTCAAACCGTGTTTACTGCAAAAGGTTTCGAATTCTCTGAGTTTCCTAGGATTAGGCTCTGGGTGCCTCCTCAACAGAGCAGAAGACGGGTAAGTTCTTGTAATAACTTCTGCAGCTGTCCTATTGGCTAACAGCATCAACTCCTCCACAAGAAAGTTCGAGCCCGTTCGACCCGAGACCACGCTGTCATATGGAATTCCATCTTCATCATACAAGAAGATTACTTTCGGGCTCTCCAGCAACAGGGCCCCACTTTTGAACCTGTTTTCTCTCAAAACACATGAGATCTCGTGAAGGCTCTTCAGAGAGGTAATCAAGTCTTGCCACTGGAACGGGCCGTGCAACTCCGGCCACTGCTCGGCCGGAAAACCGAAGGATCCATCGATAATATCCTGTGCATGCTCGTAAGAGAGCTTGCAGCACGATCTTATGATCGTGCGCCCGATCCAACGATCCACAACTTCACCCGAACGATTGATGTCCCAAAAGATGGAAAAAGCAAGCCTGTCCACACCTGGATGAAGGGACGCCAGATTATCCGAGAGCTCCGGGGGCAGCATAGGTAATTTACGCCTCAGCAAGTAGACGCTGGTCGACCGAATCTGGGCATCGATGTCCAGAGCTGTATTGGGGGGAACGAAATACGAGGCATCGGCTATATGAACCCCAACCCGAAAAATTCCTTCCGGAAGCTTCTCCACGGACAGAGCATCGTCGAGATCGGTAGCGCTGGCGGGGTCGACAGTGAAAACGCACAAGCTTCTTAAATCCCTTCGATTTTCAAATTCCTTCTGCGGCACTTCCCATGGGATAGCAGGAAGGCATGAGAGCACCTCGGGAGAAAACTCGGCGGCATCGATTTCGTTTTCAAATAAGATTGCAGCTATTTGCGCCTCGACATCACTCCCCCTTCCGAACACCTGCGTGACACATGCATCCGGAATATACCGTTCTTCAGCCCAGTCGACTACTTTGGCAGCCACAAGATCAGACTCGATCGTCAGGTCGCCAGCTTCCAAGCGGTTTTTTATGCTCTCAGGTAAGCTCCTCACAGGCACCATCATTTTAGTAAATCTCGGGTCAGTCGAGGTCAGCAAAAGAAATCCACTGTTGAGATCCGGATGGGATTTGTTGTTCTTCCTCGAGTTCTTTTTCCTGGTGTCCCGGCTCGCCAGCCACTGCTTAATGCTCAGAAAGCCCACGACATTTTCCCGCCGGGCGGATCTTTCAATTATAGCCACGACCTTACCAGTCGGTCTTTTTGATGGATATAAACTTATTAAAGAGCACAGCTTGGCCAGTAAACTCATTGAGCCACGGCTGTCCCCAAAATTCTGTTGATAGCCATTATTACAACAATTATTATTATAATCGAGCACTGCACTTGCATGGCCATTATCTGATGCGACTCCACCAGATGAAGACTTGTGATAACACATGATGTCATCGAGAAGCACCATGTTATTGCTAGAAGAGGCGTGGTCACAATCCAACGCGACTTTGCCTTTTCCCTTGGAACAATCTTGGGCATGGATAAGAACTTCATGAGAACTATCACAGTTGGATGCAGAACTACTCGGAGTTTCACTTGACCCTTTCATTCGCGCCCACAGTGATGGCGGATCAATTACAATAGCAACAGTATCTCCTTCAATCTATAGAAACAATGAAATGAAGTTAGCGAAAGTTGAAAGGATGAATATTCTCATATGCTGCTAACATGTAACAAAAATAAACCCAAGTCACCACGTCTTGAATGTTTACTTCGATACTAAAACAATGCACAGATAAATGAGACATAATAAATGATCAAAACAAATTAGCACAAAGTGCGTCCTCTACAAGTTCCAGAATTAGTGGATGCATAATGTTGCAAGCCAGACATGTGTGAATAGCATAAAATGTCTTCAACATCAAATTTTATTAACACCCCTCAGTCTTAAGATCACCAACACCTCCATAAAACCACAATACTCTAAGAGGTACAAAACTAAATTTACTTCCAAACTGAACTACAAAAACTTGCACAGCCAAATTGAACTGCCAGCAAACATCAAAATTTGTTAGCACAAGTTAATGAACTCTAAAGAAAACTGCAACTCTTTGGTAAAATATGGTAAACATATCAGCTATACGACAAAAGAATAGTATACATTGTTCGGACAAGTAAATAACATCTTCGCCTAAGGTACATAACGTATATCCATGGAACAGAAAGAAAAACTGTCAAAGAACATAAGGCATATCTCCTTCAAGATAACAATTTTCCAGTGTAGACGGGGGACATAAAGACAAAAGTAACACTTCCACAATCAAAGTGAGTAACACTTACAGCTCTATTTTGGGCTACTGGTCCACTAATGAGAACATCAGTTTGGACTCCATCAATTTTGCAGTAAGCCTACACAATAAGCGACCCTTTAAAGGCTCACATCCACCGAACACTGAACAAATCCATACAAACCGCAACAAGTGAAAGATTATATATATACATATATATACATAGTGATAATGGCAAACCTCAAGTCTGTTATGTGCATTGACACGAAATAATGCTCTCAACAGCTCACCTTTCTGCGCGAGGGAGAAAATAGCATTAATTTAATGATACCATAAAATCTAACACTTGATATCAAACTAATCTTAACAAAAAAGAAAAGAAAAAGAAGAAGAAAGAAAAATGAAGTAACTTCAGCTTACCTCAAATGCTTTACTAACAGAATTCACAGACCGATGTGGAGGGAAATATGTACGACGAGATGAATAATCAATCGGCCGTGCAATTACCACAGTCTCAACAGGTTCAACAGCCACAAAGCTGACAGCTGGTTCAGAAACTGAATTGGAAAATGTAGTTGCCTCGGGAGGAGGTGATTGCTGATTATGAGTATATTCATCTATAGTTTCTTCACACGGATTACACTCACGTGGCATATGATGATGCCCATTCGATACCATATAATTGGATGAGGTTGATGCATCCGTGCACATTTCACTCACGGAACTACAAGCTGCAAGTCAGAGCAAGCCTTAAAACATCAAAAAACATGGCTGATGAACTAAATTTATTAGCATAACAGCAATTTCCTTTTCGCTATAACATTCAAGCGGCTGATTAAATGTACCGATATTGATGCCTTGCGGCAACTGGCAATCAGCAGACTACTAAGTAACTCTTTCAAAAGACACATTAACAAATCAAAACTGTATCCTATTGAGAAACAAGATGCAGTTATCAGGCTTCACTAGATTAAGGGCAAAAACACATACAAAAAGAACAAAAGCACCGAACTTTGGCTCATGGGCCTTCACAGATTAAGCTCTCTACAGTTAAGGGCCACAGACGACTCAATAATAACAGTACCAAAACACTCTTACCAAAACATGCGAAACATTTACACTAATAAAACCAGAAAAATTTCATTACAACCACACAATACACATAAAAACCACAAAATTAACAAAAGGGTTTTGATGGGTTCAGATTACCTGAGAGAGTAAGCTTCGATTTCCTTGGCCGGCGCTTCTTTTTCTTGCCGTCCTTGAAATCACTCGGAACAAAAACTTCTTCACTAGTCGAAACCCTGCTCGATTCAACAATCAAGGCGCCCATAACTCTCGATTAAATTAAAAACAAAAGTAAAAAAAAAAAGAACCACGAAATCAGATCAACCCTCAGAAATCAAGAAATTGGGCAGATGGATCTTCCGTTTTATACAAAAAAATTAACGGAAGAATCCAAGAATAAAAACGAATTGGGGGTTACGAAGAACGAGAGAGGGGCAAGGTATTGAGTAGGCATAAACGTATACTCATATAGATGTAGACGATAACCTAAAGTGGAGGGGATAGACACACGTATCTGTACGTAGAAGAAAATTTGTAAGCACTAGTTTTGTAGAGAGAGAGAGAGAGAGAGAGAGAGAGAGAGAGGGGAAAGCGTGATAATTGGTCGGCAAAGTGCAGAGGCGCCGACTTTCTTTGCCCTTGCCTTTCTTTCACTTTTGCTTCTTTTCATATTATTTATTGAAAAATAAAATAAAATTATTTGCTACCTAAATTGATAGAGAAAATTCCATATACAAGCTAATTATTATAAATTGTATCAATTTTATTTTATTTTTTTTTCTCAATCTAATGTTTACATTTTAGATTATTTTTGATTTAAAACTTGTTGACACTCAATATCAATTATGAAAAATAAATCGAGTGTAAAGCTTAATTAAAAAAATTAAATGTAACTGTATACACGTTTTGCGAGACTATAACGTACTCTTTCTTTTTTTAAATAAATGTCGTTTTGACTTTTTTGATTCATCTATTTTGCTATGTATCTAGACAATAATGTCTATTTTTTTAAAAGAGAGTTGTCTTTAACATATTTTTATTTTTTTGGTAGTTTTTCAATGTCTTTTCTGAAGTCTTGAACTCGTATTCATACACAATAAATAGAAAAATAATGATGGTTATGTGTCAACTGAGTGTGCGAGTGACACGTGGCCCCCAGCAAAAAACTCGACTTTTGATGATTAGGAAATTAGAAAAATAATGATGACTACGTGTCAACAAAGGATGCGAATGATTGACAAGTGCTCTTGCAAAAACTCGAGTTTTGATGATTAGGTTGGGTGGTGGCTTTGAAACTCCAACCCACGAGTCTCCATGAGACTATGAATTGCTTGTCCATAAACATAATTGATTGGTAAACTCTTTTGTTCATTTTACAATAACCACTCATCAATTTCGTGGTTTAAATTCCAAATTTTTGGTTACTTGGATCTCGAATTTCTACTTTCCTGCGAGCCTAACTAACAAATGGATCTTATGATCAGGCTGTTAGTTTTTAATGAATTTATAATAGAATTAATCAAGAGTGATTCATGAATCAAACACAAGATTACCATAACTAATTAAGTTTGAATATCGTGCGGGAAGCTTGTAAAACACAAGATTATAATTTTGTTGTCTGTAAAATCTAAATTTCAGAAAACCTGAGAGGACAGTACTACAAGAGAGGGCATTGGATTTGGCATACAAAAACCGAACACGCCAAAGATAAAACATTGACACGTATTATCCGAACATAAACCCAACAAAAACCGAACGGACCAAAGATTCAGGCATCTACATCATCACCTCTATCCTCATTAACAAAGTTATACTCGTAGGTCTCATATTCGAAATCACGATCCTCGTCCTCCATAGTCGTCCCGTATTTGAATTGTTTGGTTCCCATAGTCGTGAACGGCATCAAACCAAAAGCCCGGGCAGTTTTGATCTCACGAGCGACTTTCCTCTGTGCCTTAGCACTTATTCCAGTCTGCGAAAAAAAAAAATATATATGAAATGTTGACCCGTCACATAATACAGGATCATTAGTGGATGCATGTTTTGGTATTTAATTTTTCCTTACCTTGCTCCTCTTGATAATGACGCCAGCTTCAGTGATGAAGTTCGCGAGGAATTGCACATTCTGATGAGAATGTAAGTAATAAGTACAAATCAGAATATTCGGCAACAATAGTAAGGTAATAACACACTTAAGCAGTCAACGAATATTTCGGTTTCTATGTATTCATCTAGCCCGCAAAGAAATGGGTGCAAAACAATTTTGAGAAATAGTGTACGGGGAGTCACTGTATAATGGAACAATATGTTAATAAGAATAAAATTATGATCAATAAGATGTTCAAATGACACAAAGTATCAGCTTTTTAGTTCTCTTACAGTGCCTGAATAAATTTCGATTGTCAAGAAATTTTGCCAACTCAGTATCATTTTACTTGAAACCAGCAATTTATCTACAACTTCTGCTAAAAACAAGCTCACGTACCCATAAAGAAAAATAAAAAAGTACAACTGAGATTCCGAACATCCTTACCCTGAAATCAGCTTTGAGCAACACTTCCTC